TTTGCTAGTGTCTTCATTTTGAGTTGGTGTTAGGCTCTACAATTGTCTCTTTCACTAGTATTTTTATTTCAAGTTGGTGTTAGGCTCTACAATTGTCTCTTTGCTGGTATCTTCATTTGGGTCAGTGTTTAGCTTTACAATTGTTTCTTTTATTGATGTTTTTGTTTCTGGTTGGTGTTAGGCTCTACAATTGTCTCTTTCGCTGATATCTTCATTTTGGATTATTGTTTGGCTTTACAATTGTCTCTTTTGCTTGTATCTTTGTTATGGTCAGTACTTTGCTTTACAATTTGCTCTAATACTGACTACTTTTTTTTTAGATCAGTGTTTAGCTTTACAATTGTCTCTTTCGATAACATCTTTGTTTCAGATTGATGTTAGGCTTTACAATTGTTTCTTTGTTGGTGTCTTAGTTTCAGGTTGGTGTTAAGCTCTACAATTCTCTTTTACTGGTATCTTTATTTCAGGTTGGTGTTAGGCTCTACAATTGTTTCTTTCACTAGTGTCTTTATTTCAAGCTAAAGTTAGACTCTAAAATTGTCTCTTTTGCTAGTATCTTTGTTTCTGGTTAGTATTAGACTCTAAAATTGTCTCTTTTGTCAGTATCTTCATTTTGAATCATTGTTTGGCTTTACAATTTGCTTTAATACTGACAACTTTATTTCTAGATCAGTGTTTGACTTTACAATTGTCTCTTTCACTAGTGTTTTCATTTCAGATTAGTGTTAAGCTCTGCAATTCACTTTTACTGGTGTTTTTGTTTTAGTTTGATGTTAGGCTCTAAAATTGTCTTTTTTGCTAGTGTCTTTGTTTCTAGTTGGTGTTAGGCTCTACAATTGTCTCTTTGCTGGTATCTTTATTTAGGTCAGTATTTAGCTTTACAATTGTTTCTTTCATTGATGTTTTTGTTTTTAGTTGGTGTTAGGCTCTACATTGTCTCTTTTGCCAGTATCTTTATTTTGGATTATTGTTCAGCTTTACAATTGTTTCTTTTGTTTGTGTCGTTGTTATGGTCAGTATTTTGTTTTACAATTGGCTCTAACACTGACTACTTTTTTTTTAGGTCAGTATTTAGCTTTACAATTGTCTCTTTCACTGATATCTTCATTTTAGGTTGATATTAGGTTCTACAATTGTTCTTTTGTTGGTGTTTTAGTTTCAGGTTGGTGTTAAGTTCTACAATTCTCTTTCACTGGAGTTTTTGTTTCAGGTTGTATTAGGCTCTAAAATTGTTTCTTTCATTGGTGTCTTTGTTTCAGGTCAGTGTTTAGCTTTACAATTGTTTCTTGCTAGTGTCTTTGTTGTTAGGCTCTACAATTGTCTCTTTTGTCAGTATTTTTATTTTAGATTATTGTTTGGCTTTACAACTGGCTTTAACACTGGCAACTTTATTTCTAGGTCAGTGTTTGACTTTACAATTGTCTCTTTTGCTGGTATCTTTATTTTGGGTTTGTGTTAAGCTTTGCAATTCTCTTTCACTAGTATCTTCATTTCAGTTTGATGTTAGGCTCTAAAATTATTTCTTTTGCTGGTGTCTTTATTTTGAGTTAGTGTTTAGCTTTATGATTGTCTCTTCGCTGGTGTCTTCATTTGGGTCAGTATTATGCTTTTAATTGTTTCCTTCATTGATGTATTTGTTTCAGGTTGGTGTTAGGCTCTAAAATTGTCTCTTTTGCCAGTATTTTCATTTTGGATTATTGTTCGGCTTTATAATTGTCTTTTTCGCTTGTGCCTTTGTTATAGTTAATACTTTGCTTTATAATTAGCTCTAACACTGACTACTTTTTTTTTTTAGGTTAGTGTTTAGCTTTACAATTGTCTCTTTTGCCAATGTCTTTATTTCAGGTTGATGTTAGGCTTTACAATTGTTTCTTTTGTTGGTGTCTTTGTTTTGGGTTGTTGTTAGGCTCTACAATTTTTCTTTGCCAGTATCTTCATTTGGGTCAATGTTTAGCTCTACAATGGTTTCTTTTGTTGGTGTTTTTGTTTTTGGTTAACATTTCTGGTTAATATTAGATTCTATAATTGTCTCTTTTGCCAGTGTCTTCATTTTGGGTTATTGTTTAGCTTTATAATTGTTTCTTTTGTTGGTTTCTTTGTTTTTGATTAGTGTTAGCTTTATAGTTTTTTTATGTAAATTTTGTATATTTTTAAATAAAAATATTTATTTAATATAAAATTTGTATAAATAAATAGTTATACTGTTTATTAGTTATGGTATTAAGTTTTTATTAACCTGATATTAGTATATATTTGGTTTTAGTAAAATATAAATAACTGATCTAGTATAGATCTGTAATATACTCTTTATTTAACCAATATTTATCTTTGCATATACTATTATTCACCTTTTATATTGCTATAGTCACCAATATTGGCAGCAAAATAGATATATAATTTTTAGATAAAATATCAATATTGGAATAATTAAAAGTATCTTTTATTTATCTTATATGTATCTTTTATTTTGTTCTATTATCCATCTTTTATGTTACTATAAATCCACCAAATAACTATAGCAAACCAGATTAAAAGCAGATACATAAAGATGATATCTGAACTAAAAAAAGATACCCTTTATTTATCTGATATTCATCTTTTATTTGTGTCATTATTTATTCTTTATGTTACTATAGATTTGTCAAATAACTATAGCAAACAAGATTAAAAGCAGATATATAAAAATAGATATCAGAATTAAAAAAAGGTATCTTTTATTTACCTGATATTTATCTTAAATATACTGATATTTATCTTTATACTGATATAGATCTGGCAAATATGTGTAGCAACCAGATAAATAATTATTATATAATAGATCGATATTGGAATAATAATAGATATCCTTTATTTATCTTATATATATCTTTTATTTTATGCTATTATCCATTCTTTATGTTACCATAAATCTGCCAAATAACTGTAGCAAATCAGATTGAAAGTGGATGCAAAAGTATAGATATCAGGATAATAAAGGTATACTAGTATGTATCTTTTATGTATTTATTGAACCTGTGAATATTATAGTAATAATTTTATCAATTTATACACGATTAATTTTGTATATTAAAGCAAAACTTAAACTTTTTAAAAGTGATATTATTGTAATAATCTTATCAATTTATTTGCAATTAATTTAGTATATTAAAGCAAAACTTAAAACTTTTTAAAAGTAATAAATTGGCAATATTATTGTAATAATCTTATTAACTATTTGCAATTAATTTAGAATATTAAAGCAAAACTTAGAACTTTGTTCAAAGTAATAATATAATAACAAATTTTTAAATTATACAATAATTGATAATAGAATGAAAGCTTTGAACAATAGAAGCAACTATTCAAATTCATAGATGATTCTGATATGATTACATAATTGATAAATAATTTTTTTATATATTTTACAATACTTCTTTTAAAAGCTCAAGTATCTTAATTTTATATATGTAATTTGACTGCTTTAGTTATATGTAGCATTATTAATATAATACTAAAGTTAATTTATTAAAAGTATTTGTATATTTTTATCTAATAAAAATAAAGTAAAATTTTATATTATTTGCTAAAATTGTTTCTAGCTATTATTTGTCATTATATCATTATTATATACTTTTAACTTATATTGTTTTTATTATAGAAGTAGAATAAAGTTATATTGTATATTAGTATAGATTATGCAATAGTTAATATTAGTAATACTAGTAGCTAATACTAGAATAGTTTGTGTTATAATATACAAAAGCTGGTATGGAACCTATATTTTGTCTAACTAGATAAATTAGCTTGCTATTAGATAATTTGTTTTATTTTTGATATTAGTTAAAATATATATTAAAAAATAAACTAAAATAATATAAAATTTATTATTGTATAAGAAGAATAGATTAATTATAATTGCTTTACTATTAAGTATTTGTATGTTGTAAATATATAGAGTGAGTATTTGAGACATAAGAATAGCTGTACTCATGCTGGCTTTCTGAGAATATTGTAATATAGTTTGTCTATTATTGGAGGTTAAACACTTGTAGTGTAGTTTGTGTAGCTACAAATTAATATATTGAGAATATGCTAGTTTGTTTTAGTGATTAATATAATATTTAATTGTAAGACAGATAATAATTAAACCAAAGTTGTCACTTCAAAATTTGATTAAAACCTTAAATGCTGAAGTAGCAATAGCTAAGAGTTTCTGTAGTAAGTTGGTTTTATTTTGTATATTATTACTCTATATAGTTTGATTATTCAATATCTATAGTTATATTATTGCTAATAGTTGGTGAGTAAAGTTAACTATTTATATAAAGAAAATATTCTATATAGAGGTTAGTAGTGAGAACAAATTAAGTAAGAAGTTTGAAATTGTTTTTATATTAAAATATTGTTATAATATTTTTATTGCAGATATAACTTGAGCTTGTTTACTAATTGGTAAGATTATAATAAGCTTATAACTTTTTAAAATAGTATTAAATTCTAAAAGATTAACAGATACTAAGTAATGTTACAGATTAAAATAAAATCAAATTAAAATGAAATTGGGAACCTTTCTTGCTTAATCTTAAAGTTTATAAAATCTATATATACTCTTTTTTAATAACTCTAACTCTAAACTCCACCATTTCCCCAACATATTGTCAACGATTTATCAACTTCATATTCCATTGAGTTATCAAGGCATATGTACAAAATTTGGCGTAGAATTGGTGCACAAAGCTTTGTTCAGGGGCAAATTCGTTATTCCAATATTGAATCGTTGGTTCCTTATTCCTTTGATCCATCTACCAAAATGCAGCAAGGCCCAACAAATAAGCACCAACGACAGCCAACTTTCTTGCTCCCACAATATTATTAGCCTCAAAAGCTCTATCGACAGCTTCTAACTACTCTATTGGGTCTTGATTATTGCCTGTGAAAACTGGCATGTTCACAAAGTTTTGTTCCCACCTATTCGATTGAGATTCTTGTTGCCTTGCCAAAGTATTCATCATAGTTTGGAGTCATTCCCATGGCAAGTTTATATGAGTCGGGCTCATCAGTTGATCTAGATTGTCATTATTCGTTTGATCCAAAATAGAATCCCAAGAATTCATCACAACTTCTAGTACCCAGTATTCAACAAATCCAGATTCGTTTCTTCGTTTAACTATTTGTCCATTCGTTTGTAGTCATTATTCTTTATTGTCTTTAAAATCTTGACTCAATACAAAACAGATCCGGAACTTGTTCAATTAAATTTTCCAGCACAAACAGAATTATTTAATTAAGTTTTCCTCAGCACAACACAAATTCTTTAAAAGTTTTTTTTCCTTAACACAAGCCATTCCGGCTTTTGTTCCTTTATTTATAGTATTCCAACACAAAACGATCTTTGCTTTCTACTTTTTTCGTTCGTTCAATCCACACAATTTTAATGATTTACAGATTTTTCTTTTGTATCATCCACAAATTTACTAATTTAATGCAGTTTTCCTTTTATTCATCCACACAACTGGCACCATAAATGTTACGGTCAGGGGAGAGACTTTGGAACAACGTAGCCAATTCAGCAGAGGACCGTAAGCATTAAAGGGAAAGAACAAAGTGTTTATTATATTTATATGAAGCACTAAAAGTATCCAACTGACAGATAAGCCTTCACAAAGTCCAAGAGGTACTCCCAGAGTACTTACTACTAATCCACTAAACGAAGAACTAACTAATAACCAAAAAGACCTAAAGACTAAAAAGAACTATCTTTCTCTCTTTTCCCTTTTATACCTCCTTCCCTTACGACCATTGTTCCAACGATTACTACACTAATGACTATTTAATGACTACATTCCTTATGCGCATGCACTAATTACTATACTGTCACCTCTCTTTGCATAACGGATTGTTTACTAATTACATATTTCCTGCATCTTTACTAATTACTACATATTACTATCTAATTGCATATTAAAAATGTAATTGTTTCACAATAGAGACCCGGTTCCGTAACAGTTTCACTCGACGGAGACCTTAGTTTGCCGAAATTATCCGATATGGAAGCAGAAAAAAAAAAAAAAAAAAACCGTCCGACAGACCCAATTTTTCAGATCCCATGTAATGCAAACCGGAAAATTAACTTGGCGTGGCCTTATCAATTCATCTACCCGGTAAAAAGCTACGACAAAAAAAACAAAAGTTCGTAAAAATTTGACATAGACATTTATTTAAAATATAAAAAACAAATACAAAAACGAAAATTTACGAAGACAATTTTATTGTATTTAGTACAAGTGATCGATACCTTGCACCCGAAATCTGGTATCTAGTATCTAGTACGTACGTACGTACTACAATCATCATTAAGTAACATGATTATCGAAATTCCGGTGATCAATGTTGTCATTATCAGGTATACGAATTTTTATGTGTTCACCAGGCTCGATTATTAATTTTATATTTTCTTCTATTCTACTTCGCTTAAGTTCCCGGTTTCTCTTTAACTTAAAATAGCCAATTGTCAAAAAATAAATTAAATTTGTACTAGGTGATGGTTATAAAACAAAATTTTTTTAACCTTAATATTCGATCAAAGGTTTCACACACCAGAAAGTTGCATTGTTCCATTTTTAAAAATTAAGAAAATGAGTAAGATTTATTTAAAATTAAACATTCAAAGACTTTATTTATTGAATAGTTTTTTTTTTTTTTGCATCAATTAATATACATACGTAATGCATTTGTAGCATAATAAAATTTTATTACACAATGTATGGTTTATAAATTTAATATATAATAATGTAGTATACTATAAACTATACATATTAATCATTTATACTATGCATGTTATTGTAATACCGGAAATTCGAATATTTAATTTGTTATCCGTATACAATACTGACAGAGTAAAAAAGATATTAAAAGAATAAAATTGAGATTCACTTTCCTATACTCCATACCAACGATCATTTTAATATAATGTCCTAACCTTTAATTTATAATTCCTTTTTATTTTCAAACACGATACCACCTTTAATTAGTCGAGGCAAAGGTCCCAATTTTTTACGTTTAATCCCCTCAGTATCAGCATTAATGTCATACTTTAACATAACTTTATGTAAAAATACTTTAATTTCATTAACGGCTAACGATCTACCCGGGCACGCATGTTTTCCGCCTCCAAATTTCAAAAAATTACGTTCGATTTTTGTCGCAGGAGAATTACGTTCCAGATGACGGTATGCATAAAATTCTGTGGGATTTTGACCTTGAAGTTCTTCATTATTATTTGTGTCACTGAAGTTTAAAGTGACTAGGCGGCCTATAATTTAAATAATTAGGAAAAGGTGTGAGAATTGTTATAGCTTTAAAATTAAGAGAATAGCAATCAAGAAAAAAAAACTACCACTTGGAATTTGATATCCATTTGAAAATGTATAATAAGATTTTGAAAGACATTTGTGTTGCAAACCAACTGTACTACTAGATAATCTTAAAGATTCTTTAACAAAACTATCCAACTTCACCATTCTGGCAATATCATCAGATGTAAGCTCATTTCCATTACATTGTTTATTAATTTCCTGAGCTTCCTGATATAACTCTTGCCAATATTGTTGTTTTCTTTCTACCAAGTCTAAAATTCAAATAAAATATCAGTAACATAGAACTAATATTATTTTATAATGAAAATAAAATATGACAAACCGTATAAAGAACAAGTAGCACCATTGGTTGTAGTTCCCATTGCAGCAAAAACAAAAACACAGATCGCATCGGCAATATAATTATAGTTTACATTATTTGGATCGAGATCGGGTGCTATTTCGGGATCATCTAAGTAGTATTGTAGTGCATCTAACTATTTTTTTAAAAAAAAATTGAAGAAAATGATTAACGGTAAATAATTTAAGTTTCACGTAAAAATATATTTTCATAGATAACTTACTGGAGCAACCCAAGCATCACCTAATCTCTTTTTATCATAAAGGCGTTTTTCGATGACTGGCTTA